CTCTCTCCCTCTTTCTCTCATTCTTCCCTGTCATGATTATGATGTTGCATGTTCCTTCCTAGTTACTGGTTGGTGTCTGTCAATTTAAGTGTTTGTCATCTTACAGCCTTTATCCGCGAAGTAACCGGAGTAGGGGTTATACTACTACTGTGTGGCTTCGAGTGCTACTATGGCTACCAACAATAACTTTGTTAGGAGTTGCTACAACTGTGGTTAGGCGGGTCATATTCAACGCTTCTGTTCCCATCCTCCTCGACAACTACTTGTTGCTAATCCTAACTTTGCTATCGTTCCTGTTAACCAACCGCTTCTTACCCTGCCTACCAACTATTTTTCTCATGTTCAGTACAATCACGGTGGGTGGGCTGGTCCAAGTAATACACGTAGGATTGAGACTTTGGAGGAGACTGTAGCCAAAACGAAGGTGTGTCACGATGCCGAAGAAGAACGAGAGAGGAAGAAGACGGAGGAAGAAGAGAAGAAGCAACGAGAAAAGGCAGGGAATAGGGGATTCGTGAAAACCTCACAATCGGAAAAAACCTAACATTTCTTATAGAATGAAAAAGTCGAGCTGTTATTTTTTACACAAAAAGAGAGTGTTTTTAATCGTTTTGCGATAAAAGAGGCAAAAAATCAGATGAAAAGTTTAGCGTTCATCAAAATGTGTGAGAAAACCCTTCCTTGCAAAATGTTTTTATATGACTATAAGTCATTCTTAGTAGATTGGCAAAAAAACAGAGTTCAAACAGGGTAATTTTTAAGCATAACAAGGCAAACTTGAAAGACGTAAAAAACAACGTGTTTTCGTGAATACTCATTTATAGGACTATAAGTCAGTTTCCGCAGTTAGGTAAAAACCAAGCTCTGCACAAAATAATTTACAGGACTGTAAATCACTTTTGAACTTAAGAATAAAACCCTTATCAAAAACTATATGTGATTTAAAATAAGAATACAAACAATTTTTATCTCGGAGACACCTTGAAATTCTTAGCCAAACATGAGTTTTAAATAAAAATATAGGGAAAAAAATTAAAACAAACAATAAAAAATAATATATTCGCCCATGTATGGGAAACCATGTTCAAGCGAACGTATTCACGAACAGGAGAATATGTTTGCACATTCGAAAAACCCCCGAATAAATTCATCGTGCTACACATCTTATAGGACTATAAACAAAAAAAATTTGGATAACAAAAAATCAGGCTATTTCAGTTCTTGAACCTACGGTGCTTCACCAGGTCGTGATTTACTTTCAAAAAACCCATTTTTTTCCTCGTCCCCTCCAGTAGTTCTGAAAAATTAATTTTCTGTTTTTTTTTTTTTACGGATGTTTCACTTCACGTAGAATTTTTGTTGCTGGAGGAGACATGAAAAACTTACTATCATGATCTTGAATAGATTTCGTGCGAACCTAATAATTTGTTTTGCTAGGTTTTCACGAATCCTATGTTAGAGGAGGATAGACGGCAACATGAGAAGAAGGACAGAAAAGATCATTATAAACAGATCGGGGAACTAATTAATTCCAGACTAGGTGCTGCTGACGAAGCAAAGACCTTGAAAAATAATGAGTCCTGTGAGGTTGAGAAGCTGAGGGGCGAAGTGGAGAATTTGAAGAAATCGCATGCTATGGCCACCCGATCATCTTTGACTACGGTCAACACTCAAGATGAGGCTGTCAGGCTCCAGCGTGAGTACGATGAAGCTAAGCGACAGGCACAGGATGCTAGTGAAAGACGGATTTCTGCCCTGGAGGAACAAGTTCGCACGTTGAAACGGATTACGGAAGAGGCGGTCAGCGAAGCTGAAGGGTGGAAGATGAAGGCTCAGCGCCCGGGCAACAAACGAGGGAGCATTACGATTGGTGCTACTCCTAGCCCTCAAGTGCGAACCACACCTAGATGTGTACCTGCGGCTACGCCTGCGACTGCACGAAGAAGGAACGAGGATGATTACAGCGATCTTATTGCTCGACATATCGAGGAGGTTGAGATTCTGAAGGAGATGCGGATTAAGGAGTTCAACAGAAGAAGAGAAGCCGAACAAGAGGCCGAGAGAATCAAGGAGGAGAAAGACAGAGAAATTGAGAATTTGAAGGTTGCACTCAGCAGAGTGCAAGTTGCCTCAATGGAGAAACAACGAAACTCGAGAATGAAGGAGAAGSAAGTTAGAACAGGTGGGACAGATTTGAGACTGCGACTTGATGCAGCTGTTGGCGATGGTGCTGGATGTTCTGGCAAAGGGAAGGGCAGTACCCCAGCTGCTATTGGGGWTGGGGTTGCCAATRAACGGGAGAAGTTCMGGAAGGAGGTTAGGRAGGATYTGAAGAATCTAAAGAAAGACGCTATCCAGAATATCTGTGAGAAAGAAGGGGTTACTTACACTGTTCTGGATGAGACGAAGGAAGCAATTGCGCAGCTACGCACGGGGCTGGCCTATGATGAACCTCCACTTGGCAAGCAGAAGGAGGTAGTGATCGAAGAATTGACCGAAACCTTTGACAGTCACAGCGAAGACCTTGGCAAAGCGGACGGGGCAGATGACGCAACTTCTTAGGGTTTGTCCTGAACGCGGCGCGCCTATGGAAAACAGTAAGATATTGCTTCAATATTCGTGACTTATCTATTGAACGATTGCGATGTCGGTTTATTAAGACCCTTCTCTGCTTGTCCCTTATTGCGTTGACTTTGGATGGTCAGATACCATGGGCCAACAAATTCGCTACGTGTTTTTCTACTCTTTTGTCTCGTGATTTTGATTTCGATCGCTGTGATGGGCCCTTAGTATACGCGTTGATCTCTCCTTGGTGCCGACATACATGTATTGGTAGTACTTCTAGGGATCTACATACCAGATGGAGCGAGCATGTATATAGAGTATGTAATCCATCTTTGGTTAGTAAAGGTGATCGCAATGAACGACTGTACCGTTGGCTTAGGCGATGCGGTGTCAACAGGTATGTGGCTGTCCCTATTTATGTTGGTTCTATGTACAGTGTCTCGAAACTCGAAAAGTTTTTTATTCGATCTACTGGCTCATCTTTGAATGTTCGGGATAAAAAGTGCAAATCCAAAAGGCATAGGAAGGGTCTCAGAGAACGACTCCGACTGAAGAAGAAGAAGTCTCTGGTTTGTGTGAATAGGACTTTTAATCCCTTTATTGAATTTCACTCCACTGTCGGAATAGTATCTATCAGTTTGCTTCGTATATTAGATCATTGTAAAGACCATGGTATTACTACATGTGTTGTTGCATGCAAAGGAGGTAGAGTTCTTGCTGATAAGTGGGATGTTTTGAAAAGGTTGTACGGGGCATCTACTATTTCCTGCATTTTTGGTAAGGGGCAACTCAGAAGGAATCGTGATTGGATTAATAACGGTATTATTATAATTTTCGAACATATTGTTCCCTTTCTCCGGCGATCTTTAGTATATAAGGATTCGTTGGTCAAGTTGTTGAGTGAACCGTCTTCTTGTAAGGAGCTTTGTTCTTGGGGTTTTTAGAAGCTTGTGTTTGCTTTCTCCGCAATTCGGATTTTTTACGAAAAGCGGACATGTTGCCGTCTCAGATGTATTCTTTCTCGAGTTATCATTACCTGTTACGATGTTCAAGTGAGGCAGCGCTTGGTAATCCGATTGGTATATGATCCAGTCTACAATAAGTCACGAGTACGTCGGTTGGTTATTCGAATTATAGGGAGTCTGAGCATACAAGGTGTGTGGAAAGACTTGTTGGTTCGACGACTTCGGATTGTTTGGTGCCGCAATAGAACGGTTGGGGATTTAATTCATAATTTAAGGACCTATTCTAGAACTTTTGAGGTACTTTGTGGTTATGAAGATGCTGATTCTTGCCTACCGCGAGTCAATGGGCACGTGCCGTGCAGGATTAACGACTGTAATTTTTATCCACTGTGGTTGAAAAATTCAAAAAATATTCTTCGATCCTCCTCGGTAAATAGTTCGCGTAACTTACGTAAGCAGATCTTTGCTTCTTTCCATTCAGTAAAATCTCTCCCACCACTATCTCTTGATGCTTTGATGAAGGATGATCTTCTTTCTTGCTTCAATTCTGTCGACAGGACCTCCTCCCCCTCTGTGTCTTTTGATTCCTCTAACTCCGTTGCTACTTTGTCCGTGTCTTCTTTTTTCCCTTCCCCTAACTCTTCCTCGTCTTCTCTTCTTTCATGTATCGCTAGATCTCCTCGAGATTTTCTTGAATGTTTTGTTGACTGCTTGGATGCCCTAAAAACTGTCTTTAAGGGTCTGGTTTGTGCTCCCATCAATCATAATGTTGGTGATACACTCATACGCTGTCTGACCATCTACTATGGTGGCATGAGTAAGCTGTTCTTATATAATCCTTCCTTCTCCAAAATGATTAGAAGTGAGGCAGAAATCGTTGATGAATGTAAGGCTGTTTATCGTCATAAGCAGTTAGAACGAGTAGCGAAATGGAACCCGCGTGGATCCCTGGGGCGGGCCTACTGCATTCCAAAACATAAAGACATTCCCCGATGGCTTCCTATTTGTCCATCCTCCTCTGATAATGCGGCTTCAGGTGGAAGGAAGATTTAGAAGGCTGTTAATCGACTTCTGTGTCAGCTATCGGAGGATTGTCATTTTAACCTCATGAAGACTACAGACCTCATACAACGTGTTGGTTCCATTAACAAACGATTGAAGAAGGATGAGTTTCTGGTCGGGGCTTCCTTTGACGTTAAAGAAATGTTCTCTAATCTTCTTCATTCATCTATTCTTCGAGCTCTCGACTGGGTAATTGATTACCGGACTCACGAGGGTTACCATGCTGTTTCAGTCAGACTACGAGGTAAGGACTCCAAATTGGTTAAAGGTGCTGCAGAGGAGGGATGGGGATCGTTAAAATTTTCACACATTCGTAACTTTGTTAAATTTGAGTTGGACCATACGTACGTGATGGCAGGAGGGTGTGTGCTGCAGCAGACGGTGGGCATTCCCATGGGGAAGTCTTCCAGCCCCGCCTTGGCATGTTTACTATGTGCCTTCAATGAGTTCACGTTTCTCTCCTCTCTGGGGACTCGGAGGAAACTTTTCCAAGGTTTTCGTTTGGTAGATGACGTCTCTGTTTTTGTGGTTTGTAAAAGAGGTTGTGGGCTGTCTGAAGCGATGGCCGAGAATTTGATTAGTATCTTTCAAGGCTGATATGAATCTAACCTATCATTGGAAAAAACAAGTGAAGGCAGCAGCTGGGAATTCTTGGGATGTCTATTGAAAATCCTGGCCGAAGGATCAGAATTGGGTTGTGCGGCTACTCACAAAAATCAATCCATTTGGATGGAGATGCGTGTGGTTTTCCAGTCCATTCAACATTTTTCTTCCTTCTCTGACAAACTCTAGAAGATGGCAGTGATTGGATCATTCCTCCATCGCGCACGAACCTTTACTACTATTAGGGGTATGGAACTACCTTTTCAGTTTGCTTTGAAAATTGAACTTTGGAAGAAGGGATATCCCGATGCTTATTTCGATAATGCTTTGTTTAGTTTTTCGAACAAGTTTCGAGGGTTATGGAGTGACTGGCTACCGGTGTTAACAGGCTGGCCATCCGTAAGATAAGTTCAGGGGGACCAGTTTCGTCCAAGATCGTGAGGATTTTTTAATTGCTGTAAGGTGACGTGTTTTCCAACTCGGTCCCTTGGAGACTGGGGGGTTTCTGTTCAGAAGACGACGACGGTTCGAAATTAGGACCTTTTGTTTTTTAGCAGTGGCAAGCTTTGGTATGTTTTCTCTAGAAGGCGATGAATTTTGTCCTTTTGTGCCACTGATCTCGGGCGTGAGACGAGTATTKCCTGTACTTGGCGAAGTGATGCAGTATCCGGTTCCGAATCTGCGATATCTGAAAAAGGCCTACTAATCGTACGAATAGGTCCAGTATTGCTGCTTCTTGGTATACTGTGCATGAACTTGGTTGACTATCTAGAATAGGTTTTTCAAAGTGAAGGTACTTTGAACAKGTTCTTTTTTTAGTCTCTTGGGAACTACGACTCCCTCGTAGAGTTTCCATTTCAACCCCATAAATARTCGGCTAGTTMTCSTAAGAATTCAAAGACCCCTGATGAGTGYTGGCGTACGGCGGCCAGCCGAAACCGGTCGGGTCACTCGCCGTTTCCGGTTCCGATGTACTTCACTCATTATTATTTTTGGAACTGTCGCGTTCGGGATAACTTT